GTCACATCTTGCTTACCTGGTGACTACATGACCTTCCTTCTCTCTGCATCTTTGTTTAGATTCCCGCCTAGCTATATATATATATTTTCTGGCTATTGGCTGAAACAGCTTTATTTATCAATCAATAAAAGCAAAGCAACGTATATTTGCAACACACAAAAGGACATCCCACATCAGACACTCCTCAGTTTTGTGTTCTGGTCAAAATCCAAATAAACATCTTGTTCCTTATTCTTAGTATGGCTTGATAAAGAAAGTGACTGTACCAACATGTTGTTTTCACATGACCTAAGCATTCCTGTTTTGTCTCTTATTTGTCAAAAAGAGGATTGAGGCTTTTCTCTTGGCTGAAGGAGAGACTTATAGAGACTGGGCTCTCTTGGTCTAATATATGCCTATTAGGAGGGTATGGGGAATCAGTATATATAATGCTTTTTTTCCACACAGTGTCTCATTATGTAGCTCTGGTTGACCTAGAACTCACTATGTAGATCAGGCTGGCCTCTAACTCACAGAGGTCTTCCTGCCCTAACCTCCCTAGTGTTGGCCACTCCTCTCAGCTGAAAATATACCATCAGGTTTCTAAGCCAATCAAATGGTATAAATTTTCTGTACCTCAAGTTTACCATATCCCTACTTTGAATTTTATTAAAACAACAAATGAACAATTTGAGGTAGGGATGTAATATCTTTGATCCTCTAGAAATGTGATATAATTTTATACTTTTTATGAAAAGCAGCGCTTGAGTCCTGTATCCAGTGATGTCAAGTTTCAGTCAAGAGTATGTTTTATGGCTGTGTGTCAGGTCCCTTAAAAAGGGTGTGTTGTGGAAATTGTGATAGGTGCTTAATTACAATGATGGTTCTTGGTGTGGATATAATAAATATGTGGATCTGGTTCATAAAACATTCTCAATTCCTCCCAGGAACTTGTGAGTAATATGAGAAATACTATGAGAAGTCATCAAATAGCCATGTCTTTGAGTTTGCCTGAAAAAACAACATAAAATAAGATGCCTCTGGCTGGGTCTGTGTGTTGGGAGCACTCTTTCATGCCAGCCTGGTCCCACAACCGTGTCAGCCCCAAATGAACACTCAAACTCTATATTAATCTATCATACTGTTGGCCAAAGACTAGGACTCCTTATTGGCTAGCTCTGCCTTAATTACTAACCCATTTCTATTAACCTAAGTATTTCCATTTGGTCTTATCATTACCAGAGAAAAGTCTGGGGACCTCTTATTCCTCTGGCGTCCTACAACTCTACTGACTCTACCTTCATTTCCCAGAATCCTCCTCATCTCCTAGTCCCACCTATCTTGCTACCCTATTGGCCAACAGTGTTTTTATTCATCAACCAATAAGATAAACATATATAGGAAGACAATCCCATCATCCTTGTTTCTTCTTGGCCCAGAAGCCATCTCCATGACACAGAGTCTCTTAAGTTCAAGGAGAAAGGCAGGAAAACATCACCCTTCAGCCGCGTGAAGTCTCAGTGTACCTTCTAGTGGTCCCCAGTCACTCCTAACCCATAACCAAACCAGTACCTTCAGAGGAGGAGATGCAGCTAGGGATCCAAACAGATGATGATCTTCATTGGCAGGGGCAGTTTGAGAGACAGATCTACAGAGGAGCAGCTGCAGTGCTGGTAGGTGGTGAAGGTATCCGAAAACACCAGGAAACTCCATGTATTGTCAGAGACACAAGCTCCTCTCCATGGCTCTGAGGACATGAGAAACAGGATAGCCCGATTCTGTCACAGAGTCCTATGTGTCACCTCACCTGCCAAAGAGACGAGTTCAGGTCAGGCTCAGAACTGGAGGGTTGCAAAGCTCCGTAGAAGTCATCTTTATTTAAAGGGAATAACCTAACTTTCTCAGTAGATAAGAGACTATGGGTCCACTCCGCAGTGTTAAGTTCCCTGTGTGCTGAGAGCAGAAAAGACGTTTGACGGAATGCCAGCATGGCGACAGGGAGAGCGCGTTCAGCTCCAACTTCAGGGGTTGCATGGGCAGGAGAAAATTTTCTCAGCGTGAAGATTTAGATACAGATTCTGGGTCTGGGTCCGGGGGATGTTGATGTGCTGAGTCACAGACCGGCTGTGGGGAGCAAGGCTTTGGAGAGCTCCGAGGACGATCACAGCCATGAGAGGAAGAGTAGGGATTTTTTTCACAGGTGCCTGACCTAGTAAGGAGGGGGCCCATTTAATGATTCTCTTCCTTCCTGAAAAGTTTAAATCCCCCAGTAGTAACGCTGCGCCCGGTGTAATAAGTCAAATCAGGCAGAATCAGGGATTCCAGGTTTAATCTGAGCAGAGCAAAGCATCTCCTGGGTGACCCCTGGGAAGGCAGGTGAGGACCAACACAGCAAAGATGGCTGCCAGGTCTTATATAGCCTGTAGGCATAGTCTTGAGCAGCCCCAGAGAGGGGCTGACTTTTGGCAGGCTTTCTCAGGAGGGGTGTTTGGAACAGAAGTGAGACCAGAGAGTAGAATGGGACCCCCAGCGGGAGATCCCCAATGCTTACCTCTCTTCTTTGGTTTGGAGTCCATTTTTTTCCTAATGTCTCAGATTAATCTTGGGTGATCACCACAGGATGGGCACTAATGGCCTGCTGGCTGTCTTCTTTTATATAATTTCCCATCTTCTCAAACTCACCATGATTTGAACTGGGTCCATCACATCCTTTACCACACCTGCTGCCAACATGGGCCCTTCGGATAACACCACAGCCTTTAAAGTGCCCTAAACGCAAGCTTAATTTACCTCAGAAATCTACCTCCCTCCAGACACTTGTCAATCAATGCCATGCTTTCCACAGCCATTTACCTTCTACACCCTCACAGTCTTGTCTAGTATTACATGTGATCACATTGGGCTATCTCCTTTGCCATCCTGATGCCCAGGCTAGCCCACATACCATGGTGAGGCATACATCTCAGCACATAGCTCTGGCTGTGTCCTTCTCTAGCCTGAAGATCTCAGGGATGGCTCTTCATCACACATCTGCTGCTCATTCAAGACTTCCTGGGGTCCCACATGAATCTTATCAACATATTTCGGTCAAATCCATTTATTTTTGATAACTTTTACTTTTCTGCGTATGAACTTTTCAAAGAAATGGTGGTGGGGGAACAGAACATAAAATTTGCCAATTTAAGCTGGGTGTGGTGGTGCACACCTTTAATCCCAGCACTCAGGAGGCAAAGGCAGATGGATTCCTGTGAGTTTGAGGCCAGCCTGATCTACAGAGCAAGCTCCAGGACAGCCAGAGCTGTTACACAAAGAAACCCATTCTCAAAAGACAAAAAACAAAAACAAAACAAAAATAAAAAAGAAAAAAGAAATTTTACTCAGATTATCATAGGAAGTTTTTTGTTTTTTTTTTTTGGTTTTTACGAGACAGGGTTTCTCTATATTGTTTTCGAGGCTGTCGGTCCGGCCTGGCCTCGAACTCACAGAGATCCGCATGCCTCTGCCTCCTGAGTGCTGGGATTAAAGGCGTGCACCGCTGCCACCGCCGCCACCGCTGCCACCACCACCACCACCCGGCAGGAAGTTTTAAAAGTAGAGAAAAACATGGAGAACTAATACCCTAACCCTTCCCATTATTTGTAAGTCAGAATGTCTGTTGATTCCAGAGCAACAATTCTCTCATTTATCCTTTTTTCTTTTTTAAAACTATCAGAACGTTTAAAACACACATCGTCACAGAATCGATAGCACGTAGAGTCCACACGTAGCATAAATAACCACTGGGCTCAGAAGTGGTCGCGTGAATTACCCAGTGTCACATAGCTTGTGAATGCTGAGCCCCGGACCAGAACAAGGTCTCTGTTTGTCTTCCAGTCCCCAGCTACTGAGAACCCATGTGGCTGGGGGCTGATGGAGGAGCCCGAAGAGCAATTCACTCGTTTCTCTGAATGCTCTCTTCTCACCTGTGTTATCGCTGTTTTATTCTCTCATGGATACACAAAACACAGAACCTCAAATCTAGCTTGAGAATTTAAATTGGTTTTGACAAGCTCATAATGAGGCTTAGAATAAAGCCAAATGAAAATTCAATATGGATGAGGATAGCTCAGCAAATTGCCGGAGAAAGCCGCAGAGAATAGAGAATATTACGCACAGCAGGGAAACATCCAGGAGCCTGCCGAACATGGCTGAACATGGGCTACAGCGTGGAAAGTTGAAGCAACAGTAGCAAATTGATTGTGATAGGGGATCATAAAGGAAATATAATATGAATGCCCTGTATTGTGATTCTTCGCCACTCAAACCAGCCAAAGTGAAATGAGCCGTTATCAGGAGGTTTTTTTTTCTCCTGATATTGGAGATTTATGATTTGTGGATGTGTGATGAAGACGATGACCACGAATTTATCCATTCATTTAGTTAAGGATGTGTTAAATATCCATCAACCCTGTATTGTGGCAGGGATAGAGAAAAGTACAGTTTCTATCTGAAGGGGAAAAAAATCTAAAACGAGACATTGGAAACAGGAGACAATTAAAAACTGAAATAGCCAGGCACGCAAGATACTCAAGAGAGAGTAAAGATATCTAGCCCCAGTTTAGCACCTAGAATTGGTCAGAGAAGCTGTCTGAGCTGAGAACTATCAGGAAGAAAAAGGGATAGGGCGGCATTTCGCGTAGAGAAAGCCACGTGAGCCGCCCGTGGAGAGAGGAGTAAACATGACTGAATGCAGTGGCTGAGAAGCACAGCTGCCACTCAGACAGAAATCCGGAAAGGGTGAGAAGGAGGGTGTGCTGTTCATTGTAAGTGGTGAGCCTATTGATGAGCCATGCGGTTTTTTTTTTTTAACCGATCTATTGATAAGCAGTTTGTGCTAGCTGTTAGGGCAAGTGAAGGAAGGGTTCTCAAAAGTATAACATGAAACAAAATAGAAGTCAAGATAACTTGAACTTGAGGGCAGCCAGCCTCCATATGTAATTTGATAAGAACACTTATGATGTATTATTGATTGTCCCTCACAGATCACCAGACACAATCAGGAGAAACTAAGGCAAGATTCTATGCAAGATTCTATGCAAGAGAAAACCTGCTGGCAGGGGACAAGCTATTCGCCAAACAGCTCGACGCTACCAACCAACCCCAGGAAGTTATCCATTCTTCCTGGGAAAGTCTACAAATAGGACCTCAGCCGGTTCTGGAGCTGGGTTAGGAATGGTGGTGTATAAGCCACGGATTGGTTAGAGCCTTGGCTCCAGCGTGGGGAGCAGCACCTTCTTACTGCCATGCCAGCACCATTCTGGATGCAAGTTCAGGGTTAACATAACTTATTTCTCCCTGCTGTATCCTGACGGGTGTGTGATTACAGTGTTACTCTTTTGACTGCTTTCAAGGTAACCTTTTCTGCCCTTTCTGTGTATTCAAGACAGTTGGCAAGTGGTGAGGTGATGCTTTGTAGTCGCCCTTGAGGAGGGCGGGAGAGTGGAAGGGAGGGACAGAAGACATTTAAAGAAAGAGCAGTTCACTGTGCTCCTTCCAAACACCCTACTGTTGAACCCCCCCCCACACACACACACACTTACCTTTACCAACATTCTGCTTCTCCCCTGGAGCTAGCTCTGCACTGGGAACTTGGTGGTAGTAGCCCTGCCAATCCACCCCTTGGAAGACCCTGGCAGGACTGGTCAGTGTTTCCCATTCACAAACCCTCAGCCCTCCTCAGGGAAGCCTTCCACTTTGTAGAAAGCCTCAGTGTCATAAAGCCAGTACCTAGAACGCACAATCTAATTTTCATGATCAAAGGCCATTTTGCATAGAGGAGTGTACCTCACACCTTTGCTAAGGCTGACATTTACCCAGAGCCATTCTGCCTGGCTTGGTGGCAGCCTCCTTTTGCTGAGTGGCAGCAGCAGGAGTCAGGAAGAAAAAAAGAAAAACCTTGTGCTAGGGCGACCGCAGCCAGGATTTGCTAATAGAGACAATACCTTGCCCCAGAGGCTGTTTCCAGCTGCAGCCTGAAGCACACACGTTGAGAATGTACCACACGGAACTGTCAGTCAGTACTGGAGCCAGAAAATTGTTGTTTCAAATGTTACAGTACAGGAAAATCGCCTCTCTGCACTTGCTGCCAAAAAAATGACAGCTTAATTTATGCCACACCGAAGCTACATTACAGAGCCATTCAGCTTGGCAGTTAAGTACGCTCCATGCTCACATCTTCCCCCTGCGCAAGTGTACTGGGGGGAAGTACACAGTGGCTATAATAAGGACAATTGGCTGCAGGGTTTGCCGTGTCAGTGGAACTAAATGCAGGTGAAACAGTATCAGCAATAAAATACATCACCCCTACCTCATTTGCAAAACCCACTGCTGCTCTGTACTTGCAAATCCCCAGGAAGACTCACTGCAACATTGTTATGCACGGGATAGATTAGGGAGTGAAGTGCTGGTGTCAACCCCTGGGGTTTTATGGAGAGGGGAGGTGCCACAGTATTACGGGTGACTTTGAAAATTATGTCAGTATCCTTGATACAGACCTTCAGAACTTGGCTGTGTTTGCCCTTCCTGAAATGAAAAACCTGGCAGCATTATACTGTAGCCAAGAACAACCTGTGTATCGTGAATGATACAGTAGTCTGTCTAAAAAAAATTGAGTAATTGTCATCAAAGTTTCATTCCACACCTATTTCCATTAATTTTCACACACACACACACACACACACACTTATATGAATATAAACAATACATTCTCTAAAAGTTGGAGATTAACTGGGGGTGCTCTTTTCTTCATGTTCTCAGCTGTGACAACTCCGTTTTAACACCTAAATTCTAACAGCCCCAAAGCCCAATTCATACTCGAATTTCAAAGGACATCCCAGAGTCTCCTGCACACACACACACATACTTAATGTGAAGGAGGCCACCTTTAAGAGCCTCTTTCATGAACACCCTCTTATGCGGAATGGCCACAGAGAACTGAACATTACTAACTGAGCCCCAGCGTATTTGCCAAGAAGAGATTTATGAGTAATTTACAAAATCTTTGTAAGGCAGTCCTTGTAAAATATCACAGCCCCGAGGAAGCAGGCGGGCTATGGCTGGCTTCTCGCACTCAGCAAGCCATTCATAGCAGAGCGAGCAGCTCTCAGAGGAGAGCAAATGCATTTGCAATGACTGCTGTTGTGCTGTAAATCACCCTCAATAAAACAATGGGCAGAAATAAATGATACATATCTGTTTAATAATCCATTACCCCCAAATAAATACTCCACCTCAAAATAAAGCAAACGTGCTCGCCCTGGCTGTTGACGTGGGAGAGCTGCTCTGCTAACGGTAAAGTGATTTGTAAAGCAGGGCACTGGCAATGAGCCTTGTGTCCTGCGTGCGCGTGATAAATTAATATCTCTCCATAACTCACCAGTAGGGGTGCCTTAAGGTCAAAGCACCAGCAGAAACCCTCCCAAGGGCCAGTGACCACGCTCATCCAAGCATCTCTGCGTGGCTTTGTCGGAGCATCGACCTAGCATGGATCTATATGTGGTGAGGTTTACACTAGGCTATGCAAATAAAGAGCCAAGTAGACAGATCTCTCAGCTTGGAAGATGGGCCACCATGAGGCACACCAGAATTTGTCTAGTAAGAAAAACACACACTTATGTGTGCTTGTTTGTAGTCTTCTTAGGGGTCGGGTCCGAGGCTCTGCACATGCTAGGCAAACTGTCTGTCACTGGACTACGTCCCCCCAACCCCCCAGCCTGTGCCTGATGCTTTAAACAGGAGAGAAGATAAGGACTCTGACAAGCTGACATTTTTTCCCAATTTACATAGATTTACCACACTGTTTCCCACCCAGACACCATAATTGGGGGTCTCTATTCCGACATCCCTTTCTGTTTAGCCCTTGGCTCAGCTATGGGTTCTGATGGTCACACCAGCCCTGTGCCGCCTGCCTGCTGGTCACACCTGCTGGCCACACCCTCTCTATTCCGCTTGTCTGTTGGTGAGTCTCCACAGGGGACAAAACCTTGAATAAAATCACGAAACCAGACTTCTGAACATTATGTTTTCTTTTACCATTTGGATGAATATTTTTTGTCTGTGTCTTTTTTGATTCCTCTTTCGTGCTTTTTGTTTATTTGTTTTTATTCCTAAAAAGTAAGGGTTTTCTTTCTAGTTCAGCCCAACACTTGGGCCCCATAGGTGGAAACTTAGAAGATGACTCTGATCCCAGTTTCAGGAATAGGCTACCTGATTTATTATCCCAATATTTCTAGTTCCCAGAGCAAGCCACAGCTTCTGTGTCCTTTTGCCATCGCCAACCCAGCAAAAGGGAATCAGCTTGGCGACAGACCTCTGGCCAACACCAGTCTGCCTCTCGAAGTCTTGCCTATAACCTCAGCCTGCCTGTCACTGAACTTCAGCCTGCAGCTGAATGACAAGTGAAGTCTGTCTGATTAACTGACAGCTCTATAAACCCTTTCCACACCCCTGTGTCATGTGAGGCCTTCCCAGTTTGTGTGCCCAGGTTCTCAATCCTCCCTAATTGGAACATGTCTGTTGTTATGACGTCTTAACAAGGGTGATTGAGAACCTTCCTAAAATCAATGTACAATCGACAGCCCTCCACCCTATACCAAGTCATTTTTCCCCCTTAAGCCTTTATCAATCTATGAAGGAGGAGGAGGAGGAGGAGAAGAAGAAGGAGGAGGAGGAGGGGGAGGAGGAGGAGGAGGAGGAGAAGAAGAAGAAGTCTTTATTGCAAAAGCAAATTATATTGCCCCATGAGAAAGCATTGCATTACTAACTGCCATGGGCCAAGTCCTCAATGAGCATCAGAAGCTGTAGTTTCTTCTGCTTCAAGGAATGTCTGTCACTGGCTTGATAGACACCTTTTCAGTTTTAGTAAGAGTGAGTTTTGATACATTTCTTTGAAACACAGCGTGTAATTCATTTTCTCCTCAACAATAAGAGCACATAAGTCTTTCAGTTTGTGCCTGCATCAGGCCTTGGTCCTCACAGAAGGTAACAGAGTATGGTTATCTCCCCATTAAAAATCTCAATTTCAGGTTTTCATTGAATGGTCCGGATATTAATGCAGGCCCCCATCTCTTTAAGATTGACAGTCCCCGAAACTACAGAGACAACAGGTGTGATCCCTATCAATTATCATGGCAAGACATGCAGCTCAGTGCCAGCTGGGCCACCTGCCCAACTGCCTGATGCCTCCCCTCCTGCTGGCCTCTGCATGGCTTCCCAATTTCACTCTGAAAAAAAAAAAAACACCTCCTTCCATGTCTACCTGAGCCATTTTTTTCTTTTTAACTTGAGAAGAGTTAACTTTTCGTTTTTTAACTTCTAAGGAGGAGAGCAATCCCACAAAGGCGTTCTTTCTAAAACATCTAGTATCTCGAGAAACAGAGAAGTGGAAAGTTGATGTTGAGGAATGACTGAGAAGTGGATCCTGACACGTGACAGTAAGAATTTAGCCCAAGTGACTGCCATGTTAGAGATGGAAGGTCCACTGACACGTCTGCAAACCAAGTCACAGTCCGTTGGAAAGAAGTTCACAGGTTCCCTATATGGGGGGGGGGTTCATTCAACTTGGTGTCCCAAGAGCCCCGTCGGAGTACATGTAAATTCTGAACATTCTTCGAGTCCCTACAGGAAAACCACTGCTCGCTAGAACAGCATAGAGACCTGTGAGAAACTGTGCTCCAGCAAGCGGTAGGACAAAGCCTGTCTGGGTTCTGACTCGATCCCATACGGCCATGCCAGCCCATGAGGAAGCATTCACTGGCACAAAGTTTGCTATAGTCCAACTCTGGCTTTTCCAGTTAGAGCAAAGCTAAGGACGCTTAGAAGATTTTAGGGTCTGAGCTGAGTGGCTTCCAAGTGGATTTTGCATAGGTGGATTTGTATAGAAATTGGAAGTTTGTGACATGTGATCGTTGAATTGACAGGCAGAGCTGGGAGAGGCTACACCTCCAATAATGCCACTCCCTATAAGTCTCTGGGGTCCATTTTCTTTCAGGATCACCACAATCCCTTCTCCGGTTCATCCCTCTCAGGTTCTTCCCTTCTCCGGTTCCACAGTCACGGACTAGTCACTCTCCACTTGCTTTGACTTCTCAAGAAACAAGTAGCCCAGCAGTCCCCAAATTCTTAAACTCACAATTAAAACAACCCTCCCTCTGCCCTCTTTCCTTTTTTTTTTTTTAAATTCTCTTGCCTGTGTCTTAGCTTCTAGGCACATAGGTCTTTAGGTTAGTTCTACAGTGGAAACCTTAAGCCCTACGTACCCTGATTCTTTCCATTGTAATTTGAAAGAAGCTTCAGTGTCAATATTGAGGGTTACATCTTCTTGAATTCCTTAGACCCAGAGCCAGCTGGTTTGGGGTACTTCGGTTATGTGAAAGTAGTTCCTAGCTCGAGATTAAGAAGAAGTTTTCTTCTTTCTTCCGGTCTCCTGTAAGAAACTTTCCCTACCTCATCTTCCTGCTTGTGTATGGCCCCTTGTCATTTTCTCCGTTTACTTACCTCTTTATCGCTGGTTTACTGTCTGAGTCTCGAAACTCAAATGTGTTTGTGTTTAGTCTCCACGTGCCAGGGTTTCTCGGTTCTGGCTATGTGCTCTCCCATCAGTGTTAGCTATTTCTTTTTGTGGCTCTTTGGTTTCACACGAAGAGGGTAATTCCTCCCCCTCTTTCTGACTTGCCTCTGTGGCCGCGTGTGACAACAGAGCAGTTGCTTCCTGGCAGTCTGGTTGACGTGGCGAATTAGGCTCCATTCTCCCAGAGATAACCACATGTTAAAGCATGTAACATACAAAAAACTATTGTAGCAATTTATAATTTTAATATTCCAATTCCTGTTTTAAAATGAGAAAGCTCCTGGGCTTGGATGTAGTTAGCAAGACAGTGAGAGGGTTGAACTTCGTTTCAAAAGTGAATTCAGTAAGTTGAACCCCCAAGCAACGATGGCCAACAGAAGTGAGCCGTAGAGACTGACCGTGAGTAATACCTCACTGAGTGAATTGGGCAATTACTGCATTTCCTTGGCTGCAGTTGAAGCCTTCCTTTGGGTTTCCTGTGAGTGTTGGCAAATGGTTGTTTCTCCATGGGCTAGTCTTGCTGGGAGCTGTGGAAAGTCTGTCTTCCTCAGAATCAGATTTTCTCTGGGCTGTGGTTTGGCGCAGGCAGCCTCCTACACTTAGGCGGGGTTTTTTTTTTTCAACGCATATCAGCAAGATGTCACTTTCTGCTTGTAAGTTTAGATATGTAACGGTCCAAGCCACTTGGGTTTCTATGACTGTTCATACACCCGCTTAGGAGCTGTGAAATACATGTTACTCAAAGGAATAGAATCTGAGCAATAAAAGTTCTAGTGCTGCTGTGAGGACTGGCTTCATGGCCTTCAGGACTGTAGGGACTGCCAGGTGTCACTGATAAATGATCAAAACTTTTGTGTATTCCTTGTGCCGGATCCTAATTTCAGTTTTAGGTAAATCTAGCATTAGTTTGCTGCTCTTCTCTCTTCTCTTCTCTTCTCTTCTCTTCTCTTCTCTTCTCTTCTCTTCTCTTCTCTTCTCTTCTCTTCCTTCCCCTCCTCTCCTCTCCTCTCCCCTCCCCTCCCCTTCCTTCTCCTCCCCTCCCCTCTCCTCTCCTCTTCTCCCTTTCCCTCCTCACCTCTCCCCTCCCCTCCCTTCCCTTCCCCTCCCCTCCCCTCCTCTTCTCTCCTTTATTACTAAACCAATACTATTTACTAACTTAGGTCCTGTTTCTGCATGGTCCTCAACTCCTATAAGGCCCTGTCAGGTAGGTAGCTGTGCAGCCCTTGGCTTGCAAAGGAAGAAACTGAAGGACATTGAGTCTGTTATCTTGGACAAATGGCTACTCAGTAACAAAGAGTGCTATTGGCGTCCCCACAATCTGTTCCACAATTGCCATAGATAAGCAGAAAGTGTTATATAAACAAGAGAGTATGAACATAGTAGAGAAGTTAAGACCAGCCAAGGCTTGGCTACACTCCTTGCCTGGAGCAGAGAAGTCCCCACACGACTTTTCTTGAGGTCCCTTTCATGGGCCAGCTTCTCCTCTTCTGTGTCCCCAGCCTAACATGGTGCCTGATAGAGTGGGAAGGGTTATCAGACAGTGTTGTGAAGTCAAAACAAGGCTGTAGGATGAGAGGCTGATCTTCTGGCCCATGTGTCTCTGTTCTACACGCAGACTCCCTTGGGATTCAAGTCTGCCTGTGGACTCGCATTGTGCTGTGTATAGCTAACCCAGCAAGTCCTGGTGGTTGGAGTCCTGAAATCTCTGTCAGCTACCTCCTTCCTAGTATTTAATAGGAGGAAAGTGCCTACTAACAGCTAACAGCTGTAAGGTGACTCCACCCAGCCCCTTCTGATCCCCAAGATCCCCTCCAGGTTCTACCACATTCTGTAATCCATACGATACTGATGGTGAACAAAATCATCTGTCTTAGTCTCTATTCTTGTATTTTAGGAATGGGAACTGCAGCAGCAATGAAATAAAATCATTACCTAAATCACTTGTGACAGTAGCCAACTAATAGCAAGCATATAGCAGATACTACTCAGTCTAGTTACCCCATAAGGGATTACTCAAGATTCACAAACCCATTATCATTACTTCACAGACATCAGTGAGTATTGCAGATTTATTCCTAGGGAAGTTGTTTAGACCTAAAGTTTAAATATGTTTGCTCTTGCTACTCTTAGTAATATTTATTATGCACCCTTCATTTTAAAAGTGGAGAAAAACAATTGCTGCATAATGTATTTTGACATATAAAAATTACCCAAGCATCCCAATTTTCATAGGCTTTAGCACTAAATGTTACTCACTCTGGTAATGGAATTTGACCTGGGGAGCTCAGTGAGTAAAGCGCTTGCCACAGAAACATGAAGACATGAGTTTGGACCCTTACTGTCATGTAAAAAGCCAGTCATGGTGTAACTGCAGCTCTGTGGAGAGGAAGCAGGGGCCAGGCAGATCTGAAGTTACCATCGGTTAGCCAGTCAG